AATTTACAGTACGTAAAAAGTTGTTTGGCGAAACACGAAATAGTATGTTCAGCCAAGGACGACGAATTCATGTGCAGCAGTTGTATAATAGGTAAACAAAGTCGTAAATCATTTAGTAAAAATAATACGGAGTATCACAATGTCGGTGATTTAATTCATGCAGACCTATGTGGACCAATGGAGGTAAGCTCTATAGACGGTTCAAAATACTTTTTGTTATTCAAAGACGACTACTCGCATTATAGAACGGTATATTTTATTAAAAATAAATATGATGTTAAAAATATTTTTGAGACGTTCATAAAAAGTGTTGAAACAGAAACAGGTTCTAAGGTCAAAATATTACGAACGGATAATGGATTAGAATTCGTAAATAAAGAAATTACGGGTATTTTACAAAAACACGGGATTCGACATCAGTTAACAGTTCCCTACACACCACAGCAAAATGGAAAAGTGGAACGGAAAAATCGTACAATAGTGGAGTCAGCGAGGACAATGATTTGTGTGAAAAATTTGGATGTATCACTTTGGACGGAGGTGGTAAACACGGCTGTTTACACGCTTAATCGAACAGGAACCAGTTCAGTTAAAAATAACTCACCATACGAGTTATATTATAAGGTAATGCCAGACATTAAACACTTACGAGTTTTTGGTACTGTCGTATATACACACATACCAAAGCAAAAACGTAAAAAGTGGGACCCTAAAAGTGAAAAAGGAATATTTGTTGGCTATTCGGATAATACCAATGGTTATCGTGTGTATTATTCGAAAACAAATAAAATTTCAATGTCTAGAGATATTATATTCGAAAACGAAGGTAATAAATTGGAAAATATAATTGCAGAAAAATTAGAATTCACAGATACTCAGAGTCAAATCGAGGACGATCCGGTCAAGGTCGAATTGACGACGGTCGACAACAGGAGTGGCATGGTGCTACGAGATCGGAATACGTTAAAAGTGCTGATCAGGTATAATGTGTCGTCGTTCGTCGCCAATTTTGTTGAACCACTAAATCGTTATGAAGCGATAGTTGGCCCACAGAAAAACGAGTGGGAGCACGCTATGAGTGATGAAATTACGTCACTACACAAAAACAACACTTGGTCACTAGTTAATTTGCCTCAGGGCAAGGTTGCATTACGTAACGCATGGGTTTTCAAGACCAAATATAAAAGTGACGGTAATATCGATAAGTTTAAGGCCAGATTGGTCATTAAAGGTTGTTCACAGAAATACGGTATAGATTACCATGAAACATTTTCGCCAGTGGTCAGATACGAATCAATTAGGGTGATATTCGCAGTAGCAGCTGTGGAAAAATTAATACTATGACAATTCGACATCAAGACAGCATTTCTGTACAGAGAACTACAGGAAGAAATTTACATGGTACAACCACCAGGATACGAAGATGGATCGAATAAAGTCAAGGAACGTTCAATACCAATAGACAAATCACATACACTTGAGCAAAAAGAAGATACGAAAATATTGAATGAAGATATTCCTTATAGGCTGGCAGTAGGTAGCTTACTGTTCTTATCACAGGTAACAAGACCAGATATAGCATATGCAGTAAACTTTGCTAGTCGTTACTTAGCAAAACCAACTAAAGCTCATTGGAACTTGGTAAAACGGATTATACGATATATCAAGCGAACATTTAATTATGGCTTGTACTTTAATAACAAAACAAAATTGTCATTAGAAATATTTAGCGATGCAGATTACGTAGGTGACATTCAGACACGACGTTCAACGTCAGGATTTCTATTCAGGTACGGGTCAAGCATAATTTCATGGACATCTCAGAGACAACATTGTGTGTCATTGTCATCGACAGAGGCTGAATATATTTCGGCCAGTGAAGCTGTCAAAGGGATCTTGTGGATTACACGGTTGATAACAAGCTTATCGACAACAGGTGACAAACAACCGGTTTTATTTATAGATAATCAGAGTGCTATACGTTTAGTAAAAATCCGGAGTTTTATAAGCGGACAAAACATATAGACGTACGGTACCACTTCACACGGGAGAAATACGAAGAGGGACAGTTCCAACTACAGTACATTGGAACAGAGGACCAGATTGCGGACATTCTAACCAAGCCTTTGGTTAAGGAACGATTCGAGAAGTTGCGGTCAGCCATAGGAGTGTCTACAATTAAAGAGATTATTAATTGAGGGAGGGTGTTGAAATATACAATTAATATGTAGTATATGTAGTCAGCCTTGACACGTGTGTACAATATAGTAACTAGTTATGCACGAGCATAAGACTCACTCTCTTACGGATGTAACATGACCTCGGTCGTGCATATATATAGGGGCCTTTGATGTATGTAATATTCACTTGCACATTCGTCGTTGTACAGAGCGTATATGATGTGTGTGTACTGTCACAGTTTAATTGTCCAGTTGTACGTTATTATATATTATACTTAAACATAATCATATTGTCGTGTTATTACTTATTATATTAATGCTAACATCATTAGTCCGTCAAGCTTCACTTTCAACAAAACCGGTTTAGCTATTACCTACAACTTTATTGATGTATTATCTTATTTATCGTCGATTGAGAAGATAATATAGGAATAACCTAGTAGTTAGTACCTACCTTTTGTTATTTTTCCCAGTAATAATAAATGCAGCAGTAAAATAAAAATAATTAGGTATCTGCCAGTTTATTAATACAAATAAAATTATATACCCATGTCCGATGGCCGATATGGATACGGGAACACGGGCTATGGCAATCGGAATCGGCCATCAGGGCCACAGTGCCATACCACAGCCGGTGCCCTCACCGCGCTGGTCACTTCGCAGTTTTATGCATTCTAATTTCTAGCATTCATCCAGGTAAATTTTGCCTGGTGTTAAAACTGCCAGTTTTTTTCTTATTACGTTTATCGATATTTGTGCTTTTAAAAGTTTACGTTCTAAGTACATTTAGAAAATATGAAACGTTATTTCCAAACCACTTAGATAATAATTAATATTATAAACTATAACCCAGAACAAAAAATGGTTTGATTCTTGAATACTTCGGAATCATATGAACGATTTAAATTATTTGTGTTACCTATAACGGCTATAACCTATGTAATATTTCTGATTATGTATCGAAGTAGAATGTTACAGAAGCACAGCACTTACAAATTATTTATTGAGGTACGTATAATTAATGTATAATTAAATAGGTAGATATTTAAGATTTCTGGCACGTTGTATTTAGTATGAGTAACATAATTAATTAAAATTCAACATTCATCCAGGGGCGGTTCCAGAGACTTAGTTTGGGGGGGGCTAAGTTATAATTTTCAGAAAACTTAACAACAATTTTTACAACACAAATCCAAGTCTTCTATTTTTTGAATTGGCAAATACATCTATAATATGATCTATTTGACCTAAAACGTTCACTTTATTATGTACATTAATTTGTTAACAATATAACATTTTTAGGAATACAGGCTTTGGGGGGAGGCCCCTAGGCATTCATCTGTATAAAATATATTAAAGGTGATGAGAAATATTTAATATTAATTTATAAAAAGTATGTACCTGCCTATATAATATAATATATTATAATTAAAGAACGGATTTATATGCTTTTTTAGTCATCAAATATGCATGCCAATATGCACTAAAACAAGTCAAAATATGCAAGAAAAAATACAAATTATGCATAGTAAAATTTAAATTTAAATTTAATAATAGATTGCAATCCAAGTAAATAACATTTTAGTAAGTAGATACTGACAACAAATTTAATTCTTTGAAACATATCAATATTTGATGCTAAAACATATTTTAATACTTTCTTTTGTTCTAAACACTTGGTAAGTGGAAATTGTCAAGTGTACCTATATTTATGATTTTTTGTAAGAATATGCAAAAATATGCAGTTTAAAATTTTGATATTTAATCAATCAAGTAATGATTTATGGACACTCGTTGCCTGCATATATATATGTTGTTGAATATAGCTACATGAATTTTATGCAAAATCCGGTCTTTAATTATAATATTTACTAATAAAGTTCTTATTAACATAACGTATATTAGGTAATCAAAATTAATTTTATTTTGTACTAAGAAAATGTTTAAATTGTTATTCTTCCATAGGTTGTTTAAAAGAGTTTATTTAATTGAAAATGATACCTGAAAAACCTATTGTGGCCAAATAATAACTATATGACTAATGCACCTTTAAGACGCCTAATGTCGTCTGCCAATGCAGAACCATCATTCGACAAATTGCTAAATTTTTAATAGATATACAAATTTAAGCTGAAGTTTTTTTTTTTTTTTTTTTTGTTTTTGTTTAATGTTTAAGTTTTTATTGTCATCAGATAATTATATTTAATATTAATGTAAGCTGTATATATTTTATTAGTTTTTTGTCTTTTGTAAAATGTCTAACACGATATAAGATTTATTGTAATGTCAAAAAGGGCTAAGCCCGTATAACGAATAATAAATAAATAAATAAATAAATAAATAATATATTATTTGGAAATTGGCTTTGACACCACAATAGAATGTAATGGAAATGGAACCATCTTCCTTTAATAATATGCTGTTTATCGTTCACATAAAACTATACTATGGATAGTATTTCTATACTTCTGATTTAGTATCACGTATGTATATGTAACGGGTAATGTTAACATTTGGGTAATGTTAACATTTGGATAATGTCGACATTATCCGGCTAATGAGACATTAGCCAACTGTCATCATAAGCCGCCATGAATTTTGGCTAATGTTAACATTAACCGGGTAATATTACATTAGCCAAGAACTTTTGAATAATGTCTTAACAATGTATCATACATGAGATGCAATAATTTAAATTATTAACAATATTAATATTATATTTAAGACATAATTGGAAACAACTATGAAGTACATAATATTAATAATATGAGTTTAGTTTTTAATTTTTAACAACCTAACCTACTTACGATACATAATGTGTTATCCTTTATTATTACATGGCATGCTTCCATGACATTTTGAATTGCACAAAATGCTAGATGATTTACATTTACATCGATTGGTGTCACATTTCCCCTTACATGAACACCTTTTATATCTTTGACCACCACCATCTGACATTTGACTCGCAATTTCCCTCAATGATTTTTCTACATGCACCACCTCATCAAGCGGTATTAAAGACACAGGACAAACACCAAATTGATTTCTGGTGTATAACTGTGGCAAAGTACCATATTTATTGCCAAGTTTATAATATTGCCCATCCTCAATAGACACAACTGCAAATATAATATTTCTTGGGTTTGCTCGTGCTCTGTCGACATCCGGTAAAGAGACTCTCACACTGTCTCCAATGTTGGCTGGGGGAAACTTATGGATAGACCTAAATTTCATTTTTTCAGCTTGGTTCAGTAAACAAATTTCAGATTTTTTTCTATTATTTTCGATTGATTTCTGTAAAAAATTAATTATTAGTTATTGGGAACAATAAAGGTAATTTAAAATAACAATATCTTACCTGTCTTGAGCATATTAAGTCACATAATCCTTCGTCCTTGGATGCTTTCGAACAACAATTTTCATTCACTCCTTGAACATTATTTGTTTCATCCACGCCTTCGTTTTCGTCTTCTTCATTGATATTGTTTAAAAATATTACAAGATCGTCTTCAGTAATGATATTGTCAACGGAATCGCTAGGAAAACGTGTAGTCAAACCAACTCTCATATCTGTTCCAAACATTGCCTCGTACGGTGACCTAAAGTTATTTCGAAAATATTATAATTAGGGCTAAAAAGTTAGCGTAAGTTAGGTTAAAATTTTACAATAAAAAAAAACTATACTGATAAATATTTAAATACTAATTTTAAATTACCTTTGGATACCAGAATGAAGTGCTTTATTCTTCATAAGCTGCTCAAATCTAAATCCTTCTTTCCATGATTTTACATTATTAGTTTGCATCCAAGTAATTAACATATTTTGTATATCTTGATTAGCTCTTTCCACGCTCCCCTGACTTTGACTATGTCGTGGTTTACCATGCACTATTTTTAACGTAGGCCACATAGTTTTCAAGTCATTTATAATTTTATTGACAAATTCTCGTCCATTGTCGGATTGTAAAATAACTGGTGCTCCAAAAATACAAAATATGTCCAAAATATTGGTCGCCACTTCTTCGGCCGTTTTTGACTTTAAAGCCCGCACTTGAACAAATTTTGTTAAATGGTCTTGGTAAACCATAATAAAGCGAAATTCTCCATCAGCTTGCGATTGCATGTCGATCAGGTCAACCTGACAACGACTATTCATTTCTGAATGAATAATCGGTTTAACAACAAGGCCTTTTCGTTTAGATGACAGTTTTGTTTGACAAGGTCCACAAAATTTTAAAAACATAAGGACAACTTCCTGAGTTAAATTTTTGTATTTTTTTTTTATTTCTGCCATCATTCGATGCTTACCACCATGACCAATATTGAGATGTATTTCATTTAATATGTCATATAATTCATCGTTTTTTACGTAATATAGGAAATTAGTACTACCTTTTTCGACGGGTGCTATAAGTTTCTCTTCTCCTCCGATATTAATAATTTCAAATTTGTTCAAACGACGAGATTTATTGCTGCCTTTCAATTAATTTATTATATTTAAATATTTTTCATTTGATATATAAGATGAATTATCGTCTCGTTTTTCAGACAACAGTTTTTCGAATAAATTATAAAATTCCGTTTTGGTTTCTATTTTATTTAAAATTCAATTAAAACACTTTTACACATTAACCAAAACGCATGGCTAATGTCGACATTAGCCGGATAATGTCGACATTATCCAAATGTTAACGTTACCCGTAACATATATATAATATGACCTATATATACTGTATAATATATGTACATTCATTAGTATTTAGGATTCTGTGCATTAAAACAATATTATGTATTTATATAAGATGTAAATATATGACAGATCGACAAACAAACTAGTTGTAAATATTTAACAAGTATCTATCTAGCAAGATATTTAAAGATAATATCTTAAACTAACTACCTATATGGCTACATTTGACAATTTACTACCTATTAGGTGTGTATTATTACAAGATTTTTTTCAGTAGTACCAACAATAATCAATTACCTAGCATAAGAACAGAAATGTAAAATTCAGTATTATTTTTAATGATTAATAGTAGTTAGATGCCTACCTATATAAATAATATTATAACTTATAGTACATTATAATTACCATCATAGTTAATCATAGGTACATTCAGGTATCAATCATTAATATTAGAAAAAATATATAGGTACTCCTAATTGAACTGTACCCCATTAGAACATTGCAACATCATGTAGAGTAAGTTAGGTATATAATATATAATATATATATATACATAGCATAATATAGTATAATAATATATGGTTTTATTTTTGGGAAGTAGATACCTGGTGATAAATTAAAATACCTACCCGTAAAACAGCATCGACTTTCATATTTTTTAATCATAACTCAAACTTGAATAAAAAACTATACAAGTATATAAAGTAGCTGGTTTCTATTGTATATTTATGTAAAAATTGCTTAAATTAACCACAGTTCACTAATAGAACTTTGATTTTCTCAAGGAATGAGTAATTGGATTTTTGTGTTGACCTTACACAAATAAATAATAATTAAAAAAAATTTAATCAATTAAGGAACTTTTATAATTGCTGTTTCTCTGGAAAATAAACATTTTTTTTTAGGTCTATGTATTAGTAAGATTATCACGATTTAAAATTAATACTACATTTGAACTACTTAGGTATATATTTCTGTTACCAAATGCGTATACCAATGCTATACTCATTGTTACACACTGGGCATTTTTGTGTTTGTAGCTGTGACAAACAATCAACCCAAAGAACCCTATGCCCACAAGGAACAAGTGCATGTGTCCTGGGGGCCACTCTGCACACCACACAAATATTATCTTCATCTTGTCCTTGTGGGTAAAGTTCCAAAAGATTTTGTGGTACTGGTACAAACGGAACTTCTATCTCATCTTCAATCATAAAATTTTGCCAAAAAGCCATTTCGGCATCCTCAGGTATTAAAAAATCTGCTTCGTTTTCATCTAGAAATGAATAATAATATAGAACGTTGGATTTTAATTCAAATTATTAAAGTACCTATGTATGTAATAAATTAATTATAATTTTATGATAATATAATACTATTATAATATCATAAGACAATGGTACCTATGATATAATTGGATAAAAATAACTTTTATTCCATAGGTATTACCTTCTACAATGTGGACATCTGGTTCTTCAACAACATGGGGTAGTTCCACTATAGCATCTCCAGCATCCTCTGGTATAACAAAATCTGCTCCGTTTTCATCTAGAAATAATACAGTATAATAATATAGAACATGGGATTTAAATTCAAGAATAAATTGTTAAGGTACCTAGGTATGTAATAAATTAGTATCATTTTAATCATTTTATGATATTATGTTTACCTACTATTATAATATCAAAAGACAATGGTACCTATGAGATAATTGGATAAAAAATTACTTTTATTCCATAGGTATTACCTTCTACAATGTTGGTTGACATCTGGTTCTGCAACAACTTGTGGTAGTTCCACTATAGCATCTCCAGCATCAGGAATCTCGGCTATTTCTTGAATACCGACTGGTATATAAACCTCAGCATCTTGAATATCACCTATGGGAGGGAGATTGACCTCAGCAGCTGGTAATGGAACATCAGGAATATTCACTAGTTCCTGTTCTTCATCAGAACATAGCATTATTATAATGATTTATTCATTAATTTGTATACAAATTAATAAATTGTTATTGATAAGAAGAGTAGTAAGTACTTATATGATATTAATAAACTATGCAAAATAATAGGTGTTATGTAATAAGAGTTATAACTTATAAGTAAAACATTTTCCCTTCATGTAAAAAAACAAAAACATCTGCTATACTGTAGTTTTTGTTGTTATTTTTCATCATTAATGTTTAAAATTGCTACCCTAAGATTTATTAAATTGTCTTATATACATACTTTGAGTTTCATCTCTCCAGTCTAGCTCTCTTGCGATGTAGTTGTCTGTACTGTGAGAACACTGTATTAAAAATTCTCTAACTGTAATTGAACCAGTGGCCAATTTTGCAGTGGAATTTTTAATTCTCGCAGAATTCATTATGTATTTTGTTTTGATGCCTCTTGTTGTCTGTAACCCTCTAGCCAATTGACTTACAACAATATGTTGTTTCAACATTATATTGTTTAGGTGACCAACAAGTTATTTTCAACTAATTTATAAGATAACATCTTTAAATAAAAACTTTAGCCATAGGGGCCCCGTAGGTATTTAATATTCGTGAAATTATTTAATTTTTGTATTTTTAATATTCTATTTATAATACATGTATGTATTAACTTTAATGGATACCTTGTTTTATGATAGTTTATATTTAATAGATTCAAAAATGTCTATGAAAGAAGAATTAAAATGTTCAAATAATAATTTTTAAATTTATAATAGGTAGTATAATAAATGAATATGCAATTCATGAAGTAAATTTATTGGCATCACATTACATTAGGTAGCTATTTTTGAATGTTTAGAACATTAAAATATAAATGAAAACATTTAGAAGATTAAATACAATTTTAATAAATACTTTAATTTTTTTAAATAATGAAAAGAAAACAGTTTTTTTTATATTTAATTAGATATTCGGAAACGCTAGTTTTCATTAATTCAGAATAGTTTTGAAAATAATATGAAATTGTTTACCTTGTTAACAAAAATAATTTTTAATGACTCACCTAGCATTTTCCATAAATTAGGATGCATCACTTGAAACGTTTGTTTCAAGGATGAATGGAAGCTCTCGAAATTATTGTTTGTTCGGCGGGGTTGACCATATACCGAAAAACATTCTGGCCTGTTTGAAAGCTGTTTCAATTGACAGCTGTTTGAATTTCAATATATTAGAACAATATATTATTTTCTAATTAGTTTTATATTTTACCTTGAAAAATACGTAAAGAATCTTGGTAACTGAACTAAATTTCTTGTTGGTTTAACTTAGGTGTCAAACGTTTATAGATCTTGAATTAATTAACTTAGTTAGATCCATCCTAGAATATGGATCTCCTATTTGGAGTCCCTATACTAAATCCAACATTGAGATTATTCAAGGGGTTCAGAAGCGATTTTTAAGGTTTGCGGCATATAAATTCAACTTAACTATTAACCAGCATACATCAATAAGATCACTTCTAAACCTTCCCTTTCTAGCCTCCGGGCGAGATTTAGCTGACATTTATTATTAATATAAGCTAATCAATAATCATATTGCTGTCCCTTACCTATTAGAACCTTTTCCATTCAACATCCCAGCATATAATAATTGAACCACTCCCACATTCTACATACCATCACACAGCACAAATTACTTAAAAATTCCTATTCTTAGAACCATGGCTTTGTGTAATAAACGTGTGCACCTAATATTGATTGTTTCTCTACTCCGTTAGTAGTCTTAATAAAATTCTTAAAATTTACTTAACTAACAATATGTAATATTTTACTTTTACAATCGTTTCAGTTTATATTCAGCCTATTATTAATAAGAATTTATGTTATTGAATGATTTCTGTATCAATTTAATGTAATAACTTATTTATTTTATTTTACTGTTGGGCAATTTGCCCGTTTTATTCATTGAATAAACAATTATTATTATTATTAGTATTTTTAAACATATTATGGTAGATAGTTTGTAACAAATTAAAAATATGAATCAATCAATTTTGTTCTAAAATAATTGTTGAGTTAAGTTCATAAGAAACTTGTTTTTATTTGAAGTATTTAATGTTAATATTTTAATTTTTAATTAAAGAACTTCAACACTGATAATGTACCTGATAAATCTAATA